AAAGAGGGAAAGATTTAAACAAATGTATAACAAATAATTTTGAACATTATAATCATTTAAGCTTAAGGCTAGAAATATTTACAACATCATCATTTCCAATCCAGAGATACATGTTCCAATGCAGTTCCTATTTTCCACAAATGGTTTTGGTAAGAGGAATGTTGTAAATGTGGATACATTTCCAATATTCCTCCTCCATGCCATGATATAGTGTTATTAGCGTGAGCAGTTATAAATCCATTGCCATCCTTACTCTAATTTAATTCTTTTTTTAAATTTAAATTTGTTATTAATTTCAGTAAAAATTTACAGAGGCTTTGAATTTCCATTCATTGGTTGTTCTACATTTGTCCCCTCCCAAGGCTCACCCCCCCACACAGAATTCTTTCATTGTTTTACAAACCACGATCACTCCACCATGTAGCCATCGCTATAGACTCCTGCGATGACAGAAATACCTAACCACATATCTCTTTTAAACAGTTTTCTCCCTCCTCTGTTTCAGTGCAGTACACCTTATTGAACCCATCTTACTCAGTCTCTTCCCAACCCCAAGGTCATTCCTGTTTTACAACAGTGGCACCATGCAATATTTCTCCTTTTGTGACTGGGATATTTCACTTAGCATAGTGTTCTCCAGAGTCAACCATTTTGAATAATATTGCGTGAATTCCTTGTTTTTCAATGCAGCATAGTATTCCATTGTGCGAATATAGACAATTTCTCTATCCATTCATTTGTTGATGGGCACTTAGGTTGTTTCCAACTCTTTGCTATTGTGAACAAAGCTGCAATAAACATGGGTGTGCATGCATGTCAGCAGCAGTTTTGGTGAGGTCTTAGGAGGAAGGAGAATTTTAGCTCTGGAGAAGGCCCAGATTATATAAAACTAATAAGAGCAATGTAACTAGGAAACCCAAGCAAAGACAGAAATCAACATAAAATGGCTTAGGAGCCAAGCCATGAGCAAGAGGGTTGAGTGCCTTCAGGTAAGAGGCTTCTTGGCTAAACAAGTGTGCCTTTAAGCACTTGGTGGAGCTGGACTGACTGGACTCCAGAACTAGTGAGCTTGGTGTCACTGTTGAGGTTTACTATCAGTGTATGATGCCGCTGGGCATGTCTTAGTAGAGGAAAAACTTCACTGGAGCAGGGCAGAGGTGAGTTTGCCTCTTCTTGTGGAACCAGGAAGCAGAAGAAGCAAAAACAAGGAGCACAGGAAGCAGAGCTGCCTCATCTCGCAAACTCTAACGTCCCCATGTGTGGAGGCCATGGCTTCTGGGATTCCAAAAGATGGGATTTACAGCTTGCTATATAGTTAAACGAGTTAGATAGCTGCCAACTAGATTCCTGAGTGTGCTGCTTTCATTAAGATGGTGTTGTTCCCCAACGCTGAAGGAATGGGGCTGCCATGTTTGAGGAAGTGGGCTCTCACCACTCAATTCAACTAGCAGAATGGCGTCTCCTAAAGCAAAGGAAGCAGAGCTGCAGTCCCAATGGACCTCGGAGTCAGAGTAGAAGCCCAGGGCTCCGTGACCTCCCTACAAAATCCAGAAAGCATGGCCCACACTCTGATTCTGGAGGGCTGGGACATAACCAGATAATCTTAGCTTTTGGGGATTACTTTTAACCCTTGAGACCTAATGTAAATTGTTCTGATATAATTTGATTTGCTAATATCTATTATCTCTTCTTTCCGTGCAGTTTCTCCCATTGGTAATGGAAGTATCTACATTATGCTTGTGTCACTGTTGGACTTTGGAAGAGCTAATTTGTATTCTAGATTCACAAAGAGAAATTTTTCTTTCTTCAGGTTGAAATTTGAATTTGGTTGATTTAAGATCTTTGGGATCATATAAGAGTAAAGTGTTTTGCATGTGACAATGACATGAAATTTACAGACTCTGGTGGCACTAACAATGCTTGCTGAAAGTTAGAAGGACTTGAAACACTAATTGCAGAAAATCAGATTACAGCGTTCATTCTGAATTGCATCTCAACATCAAGTAGACATAAATCCTCACCACTGGACCTATCAAGATTGTGATAGAAGGAGAAAAGATTGAAGTAGTCAATGATTGCATGTTAGTTGGAACCATGATCAAACCCCTGCGGTCAGGATATCAGGAGATGTGTTGAACTGGAAAATCTGCTATGGGGAACTTTCCCAAATAACTGAAAAGCAAAGATGTCAGTTTGAAGACAAAAGTGCATGTGATGCAGATCACAGTCTTTTCAATTACTTTTTATGCTTCTGAAAACTGGACAATGAATGAAAATTGGACAACAAATGAAAACTGGACAATGAGAAAAGAAAAAATGATGCCTTTGAGTTGTGGACAAGAGTATTAAATATGGACTAGAAAAGAACAAACAGCTATGTCTTCAGAGGGTAGACACAGGATGCTCTTTGGAGGCAAGGATAACAAAGCTTAGTCTCACATAATTTGGGCATGTTGCTAGGAGAGGCTATTCTTTGGAAAGGAACATAATGCTTGGAAAGGTGGAGGGTTGGTGAAAGAGATGAAGAGCTTTAATAAGATGGATTGATACAGTGACCGAAGCAAAGGCTCACATGTGCCACAGATGATGAGAATGGCACAGGATAAAGATCTCCTGTTTATAGGGCCACTGAAGTACTGCTCTGAGTTGTACTTGAGCAGCCCTGTAAAAAACACTGTAAGATAGAACAAAACCTTGCCTATCCTATCACAATCTCTGCTATGTATAAGCCCATTGTTGAAATCATTGTGTCGATCCATTTTATTGAGGGTCTTCTACTCTATGACCAGCTCTCTACAGTCCCCAGCATAATGTCCTGTTCCACAAATTGACCCCTCTCCTGATAAAATGCCCAAATTCTGTCAGAGAATGTCTGTTTTTCTAAGACAGATTTGTTCTTGGGGAGTCCATAAAGTAAAACAAGAGACTCCCCATTGCCATCAATTCACTACTGATTCAAATTGACCCTCATCAATGACTCTACAGTGGGTTTTCAGAGGTTGCAAATCACACAGCAAAGATTTTGAAGCTCTGTATCACGTATTTTGGACGTGTTGCTAGGAGAGGCACTTCTTTGGAGAGGAACATCATGCATGGAAAGGTCTCAGAGAATTGGTGAAGGAGAAGATCCCAGTGAGATGGATTGATACAGTCACTGCAGCAATAGGCTCACATGTGTCAAAGATGATGAGAATGGCACATGATAGGAAACAGGGTTTAGACTTGTTGTTTATATGGCTGCTCTGAGCTGTACTTGATTCAATGGCACATAACAACACCTGCTGGACACTTCTATCATTCAAAAACTTTTCTTTGGGGATATTGTGAAGAGTGATGAGGACATCACAAGGGCATAATATTTTGAAAGTTGTTGTTGTTGTTATGTGCCATCGAGTCGCTTGCAACTCATAGTGACCCTATGTACAAGGGCAGCATCTCTTAGATGAAATATGTCAATTGGTACACCATCTATTCCTGGAGCCCTATTCTTTGCCATTTTCTTCAAAGCAGCCTGAATTTCTTCTTTCATCACCATAGACTCTTGCTCATATGTTGTTTCCCGAAATTCTTCTGTGTCTGCCAATTCCTTTCGATACAGTGACTCAGTGTATTCTTTCCATCTTCTTTAATACTTCCTGAATCATTTAACATTCTGCCGAAAGCAACCCTGATTATAGCAACTCAAGGTCTGAATTTGTTCTTCAGTTCCTTGAGCTTAAGTAATGCTGAGTGAGTTCGCCCCTTTTGATTTTCTGACTCAAACTCCTTGCACATTTCATTGTAATATTTTGCTTTGTCATCCCGTGCTGCCTTTTCAAATCTTCTATTCAACTCTTTAGTATCTTCAATTCTTGCTTGTGCTTTGGCTTCTCTGAGCTCCAGTGCAATTTTCAGAGTCTCTTGTGACATCAATTTTGGTCTTCGCTTCCTCTTCTGTCTTTGCCATGACCCTTTGCTCTCTTCCTGGCTGACACCCTTGATATCCTCCCACAACTCATTTGAAAGTAGAGAGTCAATATAGGAGAGGAAGACACTCAACAAGAGGGACTGACATGATGATTTTTAACAATGGCCTTAAGTGTATTGAAAATGGAAAAGGAAAAATGGTTTTCACTGCTGTTCACAGGGTTGTGCTATAAGTTGCAGTCAACTCTACATCACATAATGACAACAGCAATTAGTGGTATGGTTTGTTGTAAGTACTAGTGCTAACTAAAAGGATATCTATCTCTAGAATTTTTAATACTCAAACATCCTCATTGCCAACCAGATGGAAACATCTCAAAGTTGAACCTGCTATGGGTTTTTGGAGACTGTAAATCACATGAAGGAGATTGCGCAAATTTTCCACTGTAGAGATTGGTAGACATTGGTAGTGCTCAACTAAAATATGCCAGGTTAAAAAAAGATCAAGGAATTAGTCACTTTGATTTCACAGTTTCTGACCTAAAAGCAAAAGAAAATTATAAACAGGCCCGATAAAAGATCTTTATTATTAAAAAAATAAATCTTTATTATATATGTTAGATACGTCTGAAAAAGTCTTGAACAACCTAACTGTGATGAATCAGCCTGGTGCTACTGACACAATGATGGTAGAACTTGAATGTCCACTTCCTGTGCAGAAGGTAAGTGTAATTTTATTCCCTTGTGCTCCATATAAATCTTGATGTGATTTTAAATTGTATATTTACAAATTCTTTTCTTTCCTCTCAAATTCAGACTCTTTTAAAAAATGCATATACTCAAAGTAGAACATACATTTTCAGCATTGGCTTCTTTTGAAGCATATAAAATCTGACATTCTTAAATCATTTTGTCGTTTATTTAAAATTATTTGCTTGGTCAAACTATTCTATGTTAGAAAAATTAAGAAAACTAAGCCATGTAATGGAGTGAATTATTTTAGTCCCAAGTTGAATAAGATTTTGGCTTCTAAGCTTAACTTTTCCCATAAAAAATACTGTGAACAGTAACTTTTCTCCATCCTACATCCACTCCTTGGAGAGGGACGTTATCCTCCGCAAGGTGGAGGGACAGTGCAGAAGATTTTCAGTGAGATGGATTGATTCAGTGACTGGGGTAATAGGTGTACGAGTGTCAGAGACACTATGATTGGCAAAGGATAAAGCAGGGTTTAGGGCTGTTGAACATAAGGTCACTATGAGTTGCAGGTGTCTCAATGGCACATAACAACAACAACATCCACCCCTTGGCTGTGTATAATTGCAAGTCCTTATAAGATAAAAATAACTAACTCATAACTGCCTTTTGAAATGTTTCAGGTAGTAATTTAAAGTGCAGTTTTATGTATTTTGTCTCAAATCATAACCAATTATCATTCTTATAAGAAGCATTCTAGATGATTAGGATACGCAGAGTAGTATTATAGGCATGAATCTAGTTTTCAAAAAGTGATTGAGGGAGATATTCACATACCACATCTTTTTTTCTTTTTCATCTTTCCCCCAATAAATACCTCTGAGAAGAAATCTTATCCTGGTTATTATGTGCTGTTGAGTCAGAACTATGTTATAGCTAACACTGTAGCAGATTTTCAGTGACTGTAAATCACATGGAAGAAAGTTGCCCATCTTCCTCCATGAAGCAGGTGGTGAATTTGAACCGCTTGCCTTTGGGTTGGCAGCACAACTCCTTTCTACTAGGCACCAGAGCTCTGTTAACCTTGTCGTACTCTCATTATTATGTTACCTACCCTTGTGTTGGAACCAATTCATAGCTGGCCTTCCAATGGGTTTTTAGAGGCAGTTGATCACACAGGAAGAGATTTCCTTTCTCTCATGGAGAAGCTAGCAGATTTGAACTGCATGCCTTTGGATTTTCAGCACAATTTCTTACCACAAGGCCACCAAAGCTTCTTATCTTTGTTGTTATTATATGCCATCAAGTCAACTATGTTTCATAGCAACCCTATGAACAAAGCTCTGAACTTTCCCCTATCATGAGTCAACCTCACTGTCCCTGACACTTGACCTCATTGGCACAGTCACTATGTCAATCCATCTCACCAGGATCTTCTTCTCCTATGCTGAACCTCTACTCTTCCACGCATGATGTGCTTCTCAAGGACTAGTCCCTCTTGGTGACATGCCCAAAGTATGTGAGACAGATCTTTAAAAGTCTTATCTTAGTATATAAAAATGGAGTTGTGTTCATAGTTTAAAAAAGTCATTGCTAGATCTGTCTTGAAGTACAATATTGTCAGTGACAGGATAATATCTATATGCATACAAGAAAGTCCAGTGAATACCACTATCATTCAAATATATGC